GGGGGGGCGCCTAATACTACTACTACTACTACTACTACCACTACTACTACTACTACTACTACTACTACTACTACTAGGAGTAGGAGGAGTACTAGGAGGAGGAGTAGTAGTAGTAGTAGTAGCAGTAGTAGTAGTAGTAGTAGTAGTAGTAGTAGTAATCGTAGTCGTACGGGGCGGTACTGACAGAAGCAGCTGTAGCGCATTGGTAGTAGTATTTTTGCCACCCACCTGGCACGCCTACCTAGTAGTAGTTTTAGCGGTATCAGCAGTCTGACGAGCATATTTCACCGTTCGGCTAGATGCAGCTTGATTTCCTGAGCCCGTGTACACGCTGGTGCAAGAAACCGAAGTCCAAAGAAGGACACTTGTCTGGTTGCTGTTGACTCTCGCGAACGGACACCCCCTATAGTTTCTTTCTTGAGTAGTGTCTGGGCAGGTCCCACTTAGACGACTCGGCATGTTCTCCCTGATTGTCTATCGACCCTTGAACCGGCAAGCATATTCAAGCATGTCTATGAGCCCGAAAACAGCCAAGTCCATCTTACGGGTCTGAAACAGTACCCTCATCATGATGACTCGATCGCAAAGCTGCTCGTCTCCGTCGCTTCGGGGTGCAAAGAACACGTTCCCATCTTGGATCAGCAAGCTTCAAGGGTTGGGGAGCCTAGAATCGGAACAGTGGCCCTTCCTTCGGCTCCAAGAATAGCATTGTGCAATTTCGTGGGCCCCTTTGGTGGTTTCGGGCTCAGAAAGCTGGATGTTTCTGCAGGTCATGTCAATGCTCTGGAAAAGCTCGGCTCTGGTGGCGAACGACCTTGGAGGTGTCACTCGTAACAGTCTACATACCAGCCTGTGGGTCTACGACCGAATGTAGCGGTCGAAACTTGGAACCAACTAAAACCTGGTTTCGGTGTCCGGCCTTAGCATTCTGCTGCTTCTTTTGCTTTCAGAGTGTAGGTTCCGTTTCGGAAGCTGCAGCCGCTTGTTGCTCTCGTGCCTGCTGAAAAACCGGCTCCGTGCGGATCACCTTCCTCAACCTGACCGAAAAAAGCAAGTTACAACGACGGTTTTTTTGTAGCATACCCATCTGGAAGAACTTGGCCAGCCACTGCGGCTTCCAATAAATCAGACGCCTATACCAATAACGACTTTGCAGCACGAGTTCCAAACCAAACAATGTTTTTTTTTTCTGTCGTACCCGTGGATTTTGTTTGCCTCCCACCTGGCTAGGACGAACCTACGAGGAAGGGGCAACGATTGCACGTGGCTTAGAAGCATGGACTGTGCTGCTTCTGTTTCAGCATGAAAGGTTTGACTGATATTGGCTTTGAGGCCCAGCATCCGTGCTTGCACGAGCGGGCCATTGCACAACATAACGTATCGGAAGTCCAAGCTGCCGCTTTCCGTGAGATACTTTGGTCTCGGACAGGTGGTGCGGATTGTGAAGTGGTTCAAGCTGGGCTGGCAGAAGTTCCTGGGATGGCAGGAGCACACATGTGCGCAGCTGCAATGGATCGTGAAACCGAATGCTCTTCATTCGATGGCTTTCCCTGTAAGCATACTAAAACCACAACTCCAGGTCTACGAGGGGCTGATCGTTGCACACCGCTGAGGGCTCCAGCCTCATGCACATGTTGCAAAAAGGCGTCCTTGGCTGCACACGCTCGTGGAAATACACACAGGTACTGCGTTGGTGGAAGGCCACGTCTGCACAACCCAACTGCGTGTGCTGTTTAGCTGCTGCAGCCGCTGCTGCTACTCAAGCATCTGACCGAGGACATCATCGTCCTCCTCTGGCGAGGCAAGTGTCAAGACGCCGTCCGTGGAGCAATCGATGTCAGCCAGCTTGTGCTGGTCAAGCCTGAGTCAATTGCAATCATCAGGAGCAACTTCCAAGAAGACTCTACCACTTGAGAAGACTACACGGACAGAACCCAACGTTCACAACTACCAAACCTGCCGCTTCAAACAGCAGGAATCTGCCCACGCAAGTTCACGGACACGTGTCAACCCGTTCGTCGAACACGAACCTCAAGAGTGCGACGCATGCCTGGAACTATCGAATCTTGCAGCATAACCACTGGAAACACCTCGTCTTGGTCGTGTTTGAGGGCTTGTACTTACTTTGTTGGCTGATGCGGCTAGATGATTGCGAGTCTGTCAGTCTATTTTGACATAAGAGCCCGAACACGTGAACACGCCAAAACAACTATGTACTATATACATATGTACGAAAGACCTTTATGTACTATTTGGCGATAGGCTCTCTGTATAGTATAATGATCCAGCCCCCCAGCCCACCGCCTCCAGCCCAGCCCTGCCCAATTAAATTTTAAGGATTTTACTGCCCTTAAAATCCTTAAAATCCTTAAAATTTAATTGGCCGCCCAATTAAATTTTAAGGATTTTTAAGGATTTTAAAAAATTTAATTGGGAGCTCCCAGCCCCCAGCCCCCAGCCCCCCCTTGGCGGCCCGCCTCAGCCCCAATTAAATTTTAAGGATTT